AGAGCAACTCTGTTACAAATCTTGCTCCATCGTCCTACAAAGTCACATTTTGTACATGTTGGCAGTGGAATTAATAGGCACCCCGTCTTCCTGCTTGAGTACCTTTTTCGTAAACTATCACACTGCTTACGATATAAAAATCCCATGGTTGAAAGCCAATTATTAACGGACTGTGGTGTAAAGGAAAAGATGTCCTTGACTCATGTATGCTCTGTATGCTATGGAAACAGCCTTGACTCACAAACAACGATATGATCATTCTGGAAACCTATCCCAGGCAGACTAGATTTCCAGATTCATGGGGCGTCACATTGGTGGCAGCAAAAACTAACCCGGTCTTAAAGCACGTCTATTCTGATTCCTACTTCTCAGCGATAAACCTTAGCAAGGCGGGCAGAATTTTAAAGAGCTATGGAATCTAAAATAATTCAAGTTGCTACAATCTCTTTTCTTGTGAGAACACATTGCCTCCTGCTACTGACGGGGCTTGTCCTTCATTCTCATAGCAATCCCATTCAGCACCCAATTCATGCGCTGGTTGCCTGGACGATGCTTATTGAGGGGAAACTTGCGCAGTACATGTGCTTGTAGCACGTATCTGGGGTAAATTTGGTCAATTGGATACCTTGCACTTGCCAGACCTTAACTTTCGTGAAATAAATGGAATGCGACTTGTGTGTTTGACTTTTGAATTTGAGGCCCAAGGTCAGTCCGCATTTTAACAGAAATAGGATGTATCACCTATCAGTGTATCGATGCAAAGTAGAAGGCCACATATTATTCACGTTTCTTCCCCTTTGCTTTTAGCACAGTTAATTGATTTCACTTTGAAATTAGGTCCTTAAGAATGCTAAAGCTAAACCTCCATACACTTTAATAATCTGTAAACCTTCCTGCACTACAGAAGTACAAATTATGTTTCTCTGCTCCATTTTCTCGATCTAAGTGCATGGAACCAGAGGCAGAAAAAAGAAAATTCCACAATACGTAGTCCCCTAATAAAATAGGACAACAGTCTACACGTGTATATGTGCATATTTTTGCACATAATTACAGCTTCAATGTAATATCTTTTTAGGGGTGGATATTAGGTAAAACAAATTAATTGTGATTGCAGTGATAATTGTGAATATGAAGTGTATTCGCTGAATTTGCCTTCTACATGCGGATTTCAAACCCGAGTCAGGGAGAGTGGTTAAATGAAAACGTCTTGCATTGTGGAACATGGGAATTAGACAAATAGTCAAATTATTGTGGAGGGTTCCACGTTATTCTACTCCTTGGGCATCGATGAAGTCGCTCAGCTACGAGGTTGCTGTAATTCTTCCGATTGTCACTTTAAAGGTGCATTCTAACAAATGTCTCATATATTTGAGTACATCAATCTACAGGGCTGAAAGATGAGCAGTGTTGAATTTCTAAACCCTCATTGATTCAGCTTGAAACACGAAGTTCAATCTGGTGTTATCAGGATGATAATTTCTCAAAGAATAGCTACATGCTTTGTTGAAAGACTTTTTGAATTTGGTCGTGTGCTACCTAACGATCAACCTCAAACAGATAAGCATTTGGTATCTCTTGAAATGGAATTAACTCCCATCTCAGAAGAGGAGGTAGGAAGTTGAAAGACTTCAATGGCATACTCGAATCCTAACATAAAGTTATTTTTGCGAGACGAGAAAATAATACATAAACAGTGCAGTCTTCGTATATGATGCTTCATTAGCGTACAGCAACATTCAAGTTGAGGTGATATCTGGGCCATTCTTCCACTTTTCTCTCTTTCTGCAAAGACATCATTCAAACCGAGAACCAAAACAATAGAAGCTGGACCCAAAATGGCATATCGCCCGTTACAAGGTAATGTTAAGTAATTAAACATGTAATGTGGAAACATCCATACAATTCAGGTGGTACCTCTACATACCATACAACTAATACCCAACCTTATTGTATTTGTTGACAGGTCCGAACATTTCTTCGACAAAAACGATGCCTGACTGTCCATTTGAAGTAAAACAGCTCTGGCCCTGTCTGATATTTGATGGATGCTCTCAGAAGAGGCATCTTGCTTCTTCTTCTGATAGATTTTTATCAAACTCGAAAGCATGAGTGTTCCAGTATACAGTAGCATTGTACCAAACCCAACAATCTCCGAAAAGTCAAGTGACTTAACATCGACTGAGTTGCACAAGACTTCAAACACCATGCATTTATAGGGCAAGTTATCTTTGAATTTTTCAAGGTTTGGCTCGCTTTGTTCAAATATGTCCAAAAGAAACGTCGAAACAACACAATTCATGGAATAAACGCGTCGAAACCAGGACAGATTAAAAGCCCACGCGCCTAAAGTGGTGCCTTTTTCGACACCTTACATAACAAACATGACAAGTGCAAATTCGTAGCTCATCATTTTTGCTATTAATCATGCTGTATCTACAGTAGAATATTCTGACTAGTTAGGGGTTTTGAGTTCTGAAGTCCCAGCAATTAAGGCTAATCGCACAACTGCTCACTTTATTCGATTTTGCGTTCCCGCAGCATCAAATTTTGGTCATTTCCTCCTTTTTGAATGTAATGAAAGATGAGATTTTGGTATGTTGCTTACACTTAGAACTCACGGGTTTGATACTACTCATTGATGGACACGGCCCTGCACTGGCCTTTCATACTACCCTTCAATCACCTTCGAATAGTGGGTGCTTTGCAACGAAACGTTATTGCCCCAAGCCTTCCCTAAGGTAGTAATCGGCTAGAGTGGCATGAAGCTGCGCATATTACCAACGCTCGGAAGCGCCTGGAGATTATTAGCATGACACAGAAGTCGGCCCACAGCAGAAGCACACTCTGTGGGAGCCGGAGCGCCCGTGTAGTTGAATACGCTGTCAAACCAAATTTTAAGCTAAAAATAATACACAAAGCAGGAGTCCAGCCTTCGTATAAACTGACTAGTCTAAGATGCTGTAAATGATTTAACGAAAACTTACCACTTAATTCCTCTAACTATTTGCCATCTATGAGACATTACAATCTCAGTTATTCGGTGGTTATCTTAATACGCGGAGGCTTTTCAATGATCACGATAAAAAAGTTAAATTTATGGGTAGTGTATTTAACGCCCGAGACTTTGCTGAGGACCAAAAATATATAATGCTCTCGTAGAATATGGACTGGCGGCGTGGGATAGAGCTTGAGGATACTTGCCTGGCCCGGAGGCCGAGTCATCCGGTGGAGGTGCAGTGGCAGATCCCCAAAGTGGCCCATTACCAAAACCAAGAGTTAAACAAACACTCAACGCACTACAACCTATTATGTCACAACCA